ATTCACAGAGAATACTAACCCACTTTTTCATAAATTAATCATAACTCCCCTTAAATATAATTGAGCCTTATAACACACACATACATATTTTATATACATTACTTATTTATTCACAAATTTAAATATTTTGTTGAATAAAAAAAATTTATTTATATTTTATAAAAATTATTAAGTGTTTGCGTTAGTAGTATTTAGGCACTCAACCCGAAGTAATACAAAACTTGTTTTTGCGTGGGATCAATTCCAAAGAAAGAGAGGGAGTATTTTAGTTCCTATACTGCAGAGTAGAACTGGGTCACGGTGCAAGAAGATTTCCACCTCATTACCCACAAAGAAGAAATAATCATAAACAAATGGTGTTACTTTAACCTTCCTAAAACTTTATGACAGTAAAATCATATAGTTAATATAGTCTATGTTATTTTACTGCCTTATATTAGACTCTATGTTACTTTATCACTCTACTTTAGTTTTTTCAACCGCAAAATTAGTATTGCAAATATAAATTGACATAGAATTACGTCACGGCTGTTATACTCAATACAGTCGCCTTTGATTTAGACATAATTCAAATTTCAAGTATTAAAGCCTATCTGTATTGTTAATATAGAGCTATAGGTCTCATTTGATTCGCATGCAACCTAACACTGATTAATAAAAGATACATTACAATATAATATATTATAATAATAAAATAAATAAATTACCCTTTAGAACATGAATTATAGTCCTAACAGCAAGTGATAGCTATTTTGATATTTGATTAGATCTACAGTGGAAACAGTTGACTAAAACACAAATGACTAGCTTTTCACAAAAAAAAATGATTTTAATTAAAATTCTTAGTTAAACTAATCATGGTAGATGATAACAGAGATTCTCTGGTGTGGATTGAAAGAATGGTCTTTAAATTATTATTTGCCTAAAAATTTTTATTAATTTTTTTCGCTAAGCAAATAAGACGGATGAAATTTTTTGATATAAGGACTTTAAATGATCTGTGGTAAAGCTTAAAACTCTATTATTAACGATAGAAATATATGTATATATACACCATATATATATATTTGTAAACATTCGAATTATTTGTTTTCAATTAATCATTTCATTTATAATGACCTTAAGCACGTCATTTACATCAACTGCTAGTTTTAAGCACACGGAAATGGAATTATAATGTTTTATTTTTTTACCAGAATTATCTTTCATTTATAAACTTATTTTCGTTTACAGAATCGACTTCGCACAGCTGAGGGACTAACACGAGCTGAAAGCATACAACGTTTGGATTATTTGAAACAACATTTACTAGATTTGGAGCGACAATATGAAAAGAGTAAACCATTAGTGAATCTAGTAGATAACATGGTAAAATTGGGTTCTTTATATCGCAATGATGTCAATGGAAGACAACCACAACGGCCTGAAGCAGTGACACTTGACCGTTTGGAATTCAATCAACGTTTACAAGAACGTCGTCTATTACAAGAAGAGCAAAAGCAATGGGATCGTTTGACTCCAAATAATAGTGAATTGCAGGTAAAATGAAACAGTATTCGAAATTATTAAGAAGATTCATTAATATATCTTTTTTAAAATTTTTAGTCTAAGGTTGAACAATTGTATCACTTGGATCAATTGTTGCAAGAAGAATCGGGTACCTTACAAAATTTGCAGAAAGACAAAGAAGATTTGGAACGCGCTTTGGGTGGTTTACGTGCTCGAATACAGGATACTAGTGGTCCTCCACTGGCACTAGAAGCTGCTAAAAAGCAGCAACATATGTTAGAACGCGAATTATCGCGGGTTCATCAATTACTGGCGGAGAATTCTAAGGTAGACGAGGTGCCTAGTGGAAATTCGTCGTCTGTTATTTTGCAATAAAATTTATGTCATTTGAAAAGCTTTGAACATAAATGCCAAAATCATTTTTTTAATTCATGAAATTAAATATTTAGCATGTTTTTCGCTCAATATTTAATAAACTTTTTCCTCAAACTAATTTCTTGATATAAATCTATTAAAATAATATATATTACTCTTTACTACATATCGTATTAGCATATCTCTGCATGACTTTTATTAACTTCAATTTAAATTTCAATCAAAAAAATAATACTTTTAAACAATTAAAAACAATTAACAATCTAAATTTTATAAATATTTTGTAATAATTTTTTTCTTCTCTCGATGTCATATAAGAACTAACTATTAAGTTCATTAAAAAACATAATTCATAAGATATCATCTCTAAATCGAACATTTATTTATTTAAACGTAACCCATTCATGGGTTCTTCTTGGTAGCCCTCTTAACAGTATAGGCTATAGTATGTTTTTCTGATCATGTTTGCAACTATACAATTCCATAGGTGATATTCTTCTATTTATAAGTACACACTATAACATTATGTATTAAATTTTAGTTATACATTTAGAGGTTCCATAAATGATTGTTCCTAATCATCGTCAAATGATCAGGGTTTAGTAGTAAATTTATAAATTTACTATATAATAATAGTGCATAAACTGTTATACTAACTATTTCACTAAAAAATAGTAAATAAACAAATAAAAGTTAGATTCAATATCGGAGCCCCCTCAATATCGGAGTGCAACATATATCTGAACACGATATAATATAATACCTGATGTTTACCTTAAAAAGTATATAATATCACTTACAATTTCTAAGATTTTGAAGAACAATTCCCTACCTATAATTTATCAATTTTTTATCTTCTTAACTTAATCTCGAAGATTCGGGTATTCTCCCACTTCAATTAACAACCTTTTTTATTACATATGTTTAACAGTCCAAAATTTATTTCTAAACACCCTTTTTAATAATCTTTTAAAATACAGATCCCAGGTTCTTAGCATCAATATAATGACACATACTTAGAACAGACGATCTATTTCTACTTCGCTAATAAGAATCCATGACAGCATACATAAAACATAATGCATTTGCTTTATTATTAAATAATGCTTGTCTCATAACAGCATGTGGCATTTATAAATCCAAACAATTTTGATTGAATTCATAATTTTTTTCCACAGAAATTGGAACAAACTGTAGCTGGCAATACGCGCTTGGAACAGGAATTGCTGATACTACGCCAAAAACTACAAACGACGCGTGGTTCACAAAGTAAACTCATCTCTGATACATACGCGAGCAATACAACTGCAATGTTGGAATCAGAATTGAAACGAGTACAAACACTAGTGGGTGATATGCAACGACAACGTCAAGAGCTCAGCACAGCAGTGCGACAGCTAACCGAAAATTCCAGTCGTTTGTACCAAGAAATCGGGAATAAGGACAATCTCAGCAATGGCGGTAGCATAAAGAAGCGTGCAAACTCTACGTGCTGGGTTGAAACCGATTTGGATTCAATGCTGAGTGTAAATCGCAAATTAAATGATTCCAGCACAAATTTGTCCACACCACTTTATGTGGACACCAGTTCAGCCAATTCCAATGCAAATATATTGAATTGTTCCAATACATCGAGCAAATTGAGTGATTACAATACTGGCGATAGTCTGAACAACGAACCACAACGACGTCTATCGGTTAGTGAACGTCAACACTATCGTTACAACGATTCCAGTGACAATATCGAAACCAGTGGAGTGGATAGTGATGGTTTTCTCGACACAAATCCATTTGCAAATTTGAGTAATCAAGAAAAACAGGAAATCAAAACAGTACGCATTGTGAAACGTGAATCGGAGCGACGCCATAGAGATCGTAGTGAACGAAGTGGTTTAAGTAATTCCACACAAAATTTGGATCAAGTTTTAGAAGAAGAACAAATGCATGCTGCCATGAGCGCTTATCAACATACCAATGGTGGTATGATTGGTATGGAGGATTATCACACTAACAACCGTTCTAAATCACTGCCGCGTACTTACACTGAACCACCAAAACCAAGACATCATCATAGTAAACATCACAACAAACAAAATGGTCATTATCATGGTTCTGCAACAACAACAAATGGCATGAAATATCCTGATTACTATAGTAACAGTTATGATAAGAACAGTAACTATGCACATCATCTAACAAATGGCATGAGCAGAGAACATCTTAATCCATTAGCGAATGCTTACTTTGCTAAACAATTACAACAACAGCAACAACATCAAATGAATATACACTCACGAGATTCCTCACAAACGGCTTTAAGGCAAAAAACTGATTCTATGCAAAGTTTGAATAAAAGCATTACCGATTTAAGTCCAGGCCCTGTTTTCCAAAGTGAAGTTGCGCGTCAGATTATGAATGAAATGTCTGCTGGTTCAGCTTCTGAGGATACTGAGAAAGTTATAGAAAAGGTCCCATCACAACACAAACATAGACGAGCTGTACCACGCGAGAAACGTCGTCACTATACTGCACCCAACAATGTCAATGTTAAAGCTATGGAACATGTTCAAGCTGAGAATGATATGAACAGAAATGTAAGTAGTTTTGTGTTAATAGTTCAACTTTAAATATGGTGGGAAAGCACTTAAAAGGGGGAAGTTTTATCTAAAATTTCTTTCAAAATGAATACCAAAACGTTACATACATTTTATAAATAGATTTTTAGATCCTTTAAACATTTCTATAGGTTGTTTCCTAACATAAGTACAGCACATGATGCCTTAACCTACGAAAGAAAACAAATCCTATAGGAAGAGCAAAACCATTTCAACATTAAATTCAAGGAACACGGTTCCGTTGAAAGTCTACTTTGCAAAAGCATGTCGTTATGCTGAATATATCGAAAATGGGTTATTGGGATAGTCCGAATCATTTAAGAAGAGTGGCTTCATTTTAACATTCCTTTCAAGTAAGACGGTTCCGAAGAAAGTCCGCTTGAAAAAAGCATGTCGTTATGCTGAATATATCAAAAATAAAACAATAATTTAAACTATTTTTCTTGGATTCCAAACTTTCACATCCTGCACATTGCTGAGTTGACTGACTTGAGTCATTCAATAATAATTACATTTCTCTTAGATTCCGAATCTTCACATTCTTTTGCTATAATTGCTCCACTGAGCTTTCACAATTGCTGGGTTTTACATATTTACTATTAAATGTTAAAAATGATTTCTTTATTGAAAACTTTAAACATATTATTATTGACTTTAATTAAATTTATAATTTCTTTTATAGAATACTAACTGGCGTGCTCGAGATGATTTAGACATGGAGGTAGCATTACGTCCACGTATGAATGCACCGGACGTTGTACGTTCTGCATTGGGACATGGAGAAAAAATTTCTGAAAACACAATAGATAATCTATTATTGGCACCAAACAAAATTGTTATACCAGAACGATATATACCAGAAAAGGTAAGCCTTACGTTAATATCATTCTTAACAGCATTATTCGAAATTTTTTTATTTATGGAATTTATGGTGATATTCCTTTTGGTTTGGCCATCACAAAATTGTAATTGGTTTTATATGTAAAAATTCAAATTACTTTGGAACGTACCTTAAACAGATATGTTTTTCCATCTACACATTATAGTAGATGGAATTAATTATAATTATCTAATTATAGTTTAGAAACAAAAATTATATATGACTACGTCTTGTGTTCTAAACTATTAAGAAAAAAACCATTATCTTCGTTATGTTATATTTAAAATGTATCAAAGGAGACTACTCTTACTTTCAAAGTAATATTGCTATTACTATTAGTATTATTATTTTCAACTAAACTGACAGTTTTATAGAGCTTGTGTGTGTTGTACAGAAGAGTGCAGGACCGCATAATAAATTCTTGGGATTTGCCCGGCTTTGATATGCAAACAAACCGATAGTTTTGTGGGCGTGTTATATCGAATGAAGGAATGGAACTCTTTAAAGTAGAGTTTAATCTATAATTTAATGAAACCTTCTTCAGATAGTTAAGTAATCGATGAGGTGCAATATATGTTAGTCAAAGTATTATATTTTGTAAAGGATATTTAAATGATACCTAATTGTAAAATGCAAGCACTATATTCAAATCAAATTGAATCGGCATAACAGTTACTAAAGTTTTTAATCTACCATTATTTTCGAAACAACAAAATGACTGAGGTGGTATATTGTAGGTATAGTAGCAGGAAGAGTGTTAAATTACAGATTCACAGGTTAGTATGAAAAATACTGTTTTGTTTGTCCAACATATATAATACCGAAAATCTGACTTAGCCTTGCTAATTAAAGATGCAGGAAACCCTGTTTTTTATAATGAGAACAAGTATATCTAAAAATTTTTACTAATTCATTATACTGTATTTTCCAGTATACCTTCTGCTCAAAAAGAATCCGGATTTTGTTGTTTGTTAACTACTCCTTAAGTAATAGACCTTTTTCAAGGTTTTTTTTTTGTTATGTTGGTTCACCCTTTCTTGATATATGATATAAATTTGAGCGCCATCTGTCAATTAGTTTGTTTACAGCAGCTCTTAATGTGCATTTAGCGATTTTCACTACGGAAAATTCTTGTTGTACGCGATTTTTTGACCAAACACGCCACCACTGTCATCGTTCAGGCACCATATTCGCCAGATCTGATGCCGTGCGACTTTTTCCTATTCCCAAAACTCAAATTGACCTTTCGTGGTAAGCGTTTTGAGTCGATTCAATCGGTAAAAGAGAATTCGCCGAAGGAACTAAAAGCCATACCTGCACGGGTCTACGAAAAGTGTATGGAAGATTGGGTTCAGCGTTGGCATATGTGTATCGCTTCAGAAGGAGCATATTTTGAAGGACATAAAATAAATTTGGAATAAAATTTTAATTTGGGTTTTATTTACAAAATCCGAATACTTTTTGAGCAGAAGGTACTAGTACATATTTTGTAGCTCATCGCAAAGCAAATTTTATTAAAAATTGTTTTGGATACTGTGTATTTTTAATATACAATAGAATATAAATAAATAAATTTTTGGAATAATATCACATGGCACACTTAGAGATATAGTTTTTTGTTTGTAGGATATATTTATATAATTATTCATAGGTGAATTATTTATACTGAATATTTTAAAACTATATATTATTTTATTTGTTTTACCAATTTTATTTGAATTTCATTATTTTAAGACAGTAACTGCATTTAATTATTAACTGTTACATACTTTGTATATAATAACTAATCACTATTCTGATATATGCTGATATATGAACTCTGTTTATTTATGACTATGTATAATTTTTTTATCTAGTTATATTAGAAATTATTTCCGAATTAATAAATTAGAATAAAAATTAAAAAAAATATTTTCGTTAGACTCCAGAACTATCGCCTGAAGAAAAGAAACGTCGACAGGAAAAAGTGGAATCCATTAAGAAAATGTTAGCTGAAGCGCCAATAAGTACAGCCAATGTAAATTAAAAACTGTATATTTTGTTTAGCAAATAAAATAATATTTACTTTTCTAATTTTTTTTAACAAATTAGGAAAGTGAGTCCTTGCCTCCTAGCAAAATAAATGCGGAGAAAAAACAGCGCGAACATCTCTTGCAATTGAATCAAATTTTGGCGCAACAAGTGATGCAAATGAGCAAAATAGTAGCTGGTAAGTGCTAATAAATTTGGATACCATAATTATATTGACCCACTCCAAGCTAAAGAATGTACCCACAGAAGTGTTAATAACCCAAAGCCACTGTTTACATATTTATTTTATATGATTTGTACAATAATTTTAAATGTAAAATATGTTTCGTTTATGAGTTGAATTTTATATGAAATTAGTTCTGCAATGCAAGTTTAAGTACAAAATTTTTATTTTTATTTAAAAATTAATATTTTATATATGTTTTATATGTAATAACATTTATTGTGTTTTACTACTAATCGTTGACAGTACTGTTTTTTATATGTTACGGCAATTTCTAAAGTTTTTTTTTTATTTTAATAATTTTGTTTAAAATTTTGTAAATTTTTATTTCATATTTTCATTGTGTAATTATTACAAGTTCATGTTTATTGATGTATTATGTATATTTATATATATTTCTTGAGCAAATCAGTTATATTTCTATGAATATGTATTTAATACTAATAAAACTATTATATGTGCTATTGTACTCTGTCTAATCTACAATTTATCTTTTTCAATATGTATTTTTTTCTAATTTTCTAGATGAAAATTGAATAAAAACGTTTCGTCTATAATCAAAATTTATTGAAATTTCACAAAACTCATCTGTCATGTCACATCAATGGTCTCTCTCATTCCCCTTCTCCGCAAAAAATCAACTTTCAATATTCATTTTATTACATATTTCGAGACACATGACAAAAACTCATTCACCCTACATTCACACAAATCTGATTCCACACACATTAGTGCATTCATGCCATCAAATCCTAATCATTTTCATGTCAAACATCATTTTGCACTAAACATTCGACATATCAAAATTCCAAATTTTCTTATTTCATTGAAATTTATAATAAATTTTTTCTTTTATTTTTTTTAATACAAATTTATGTGTCAATCTAGTACTTTTCTTTGGGTTATAAAAGATTTACATATCAAATTATTTGAAAACTAAAAACAATCTAAATCTAATTATCTTTTATATAAGGTTTTTCATTTGATTAAATAATTAAGATTTACGGGGGTTGCATTAAAAGCTTTTTTAATCAACTATTTCATTTACAAATGTTTTTACATAGCGGTTCAAAAATTTTTATAACAGTTCTAACACAATAAAAATTATTATTTTATTATTATTATTATATTTAATTAATTTTTTATTTTTATTTATATATTAAATAATATTTTCTTTCATTTTTGCCTTGATTTTTATTTTATTTTATTTATTTATTTTTTTTTGCATTTTTTTAGGTAACCCAAATAGTCAAACTAATCAAAAGTAGAGATCCTAAGTGCGCGTTCGTTGTTTTGTTTGCATTATTTTATACATATATATATATACCTATATAGTTTTTTTAAATACAATTTTTTGTTTATGTTTTTGTGATATTAAATATTATTAAACATTATAAAAACATATTATCGTTGCGCGCCTATAATTATGCTATCATATTTATCATATGTTGCAAAAACAAAAAAAATAATTTGTTTGAAATAAACACATTACATTAACCAAAAACAACAACAAATATAACAAAATATACAGCAAAATCGCATAGTCAGTACAAAAGCAAATCACAACAACTACAACAACTAAAACTGCAACAATTGACACGCGACGTTAAATTTACAGCATGATACCTCTTAAATGTTTAAAAATTTCATATATCAAAATATCAAATTTTTATACTAAAACTAAAAAAAAAATCTACAAGAACAACAAAAACAACAACATTTAGTACATCAACAACAACAACAATGACAAGAAGTAATTGAAAAAGGTTTGTATAATTATTTTATTTGAAATTATATATATAATATACACAAAATATAAATACTTATATTTCACTTTCACAAATACTAATTTCTAATAATTATTAACACCAAATTAGAGCTATTCACACATTAGTTCAAGGCAATTATTTTACTATACGCCTTAAGTTATGCTTTAGTTAATGTTAACTTTTTCTTCGTAGAATTGTTCAATGTTTTTGAAATATGTTTGTCAAATTGCTTTTGTGTTCGTTTTGTTTTATATTGGAAATTTTAATACGAAATATACAAATAAATTATAATAAAATATAACAAAATTACAAAATTATTATAAAAATAAAGATTATAATTATATAAAATGATATTGCGGTGTAATTTTCATATATGGTATATACGTTGAAATGCAATTATTACTCCTGGCGCACCTTGCATGGTTAAATGAGTCCATAAATTGCAGATTAAATATCATTCATAATAAAGATAATCAGAAAAAATACTCAATTTCATTATTAATGTAATTAAATCATATAACGAAATTACTATATTGCATATGAATTGCTATACTTAATAAAATTTATAATAATTATAAAGTAAATCATTTCATTTTATTTGCGCAAGAAGTTAAAGGTCAAGTTTGTTTCAAGACACATAGATTAAAATAAACAAAAGCCAAAATCCCGACTAAGAACACCATAAAGAAACTAAAAATCTGAGAAAAATAGTATAAAAAATTTATATAGACATTTAAAAAAAATTTCAATCAAATTAATAGTTTACGGGTAAATATTAGTAATGTTATCTAAGCATAAAGGGAATTTTGAAGTTAAATTTAAATTTAAATTGTTAAAAAGCCATAACACAACCTTAAGCTTATGAAGCGCATAATTGCTATCAGGAAAATCAGTAAGAGATCGATAAGAAATCCTTTCATTGACTATTAGCTATGCTAATACCTGAGCTTTCAGTCAGACGCACTATGATTGGTTAGTTGTAGTAACAAGTCAGCAAATATGCATGCTTCCACTCTCCGCAATTAGAAGCTATCCGCTATTTTATTATCTATATTTCACGCAAGACCCCTAAGAAATAAAAAATAGATCCACTTCGTTAAATTTAAGCAAAATAATAGTTTTTTCAACTCTATCGCAGAACAATCCGACAAACTGTCAAAGTAGTACTTCTTTAATAATTAATTTTTTCTGAATAGCAAAGGTAGGCAGTCACAATCCTTATCTATGAACAGTTTGTTGAACTGTCATAGAAATATTTCTTTCAAAAATAACATCTTCTGGAAACTTCTTCATCTTTCTCTTATTTCTGGAGAGATTTCGTCATTTTTTTTCTTCTAAAACAACTTTTGTAATGACTGTCAAAAGATTGTGGGATTTCGCTGTGTGGGTTTCTATACACCAATGATCAGGAAGGACTCCAAATTGATTTGCGGTCTTCATGCGGTTTCTACAAAGGCATCTATATTTTATATTTACTGTTTGAACATGAATTTCCATTCCATTCAAAACTTTTTTTACTGAGAATTATATTAATATATAATGTTAAATTTGAGTACAATACTTATTTTTGAGATCCATCTCACTTAGTCAGGGGATAGTATGGACTGTATTCTCAAAATAAATACTACACTTATATACATAAAAGCAACAAAGAATTACAGATAGATGCATATATGCAAGTGATATCCTGTCTCAGAAAGTAACTGGCTCACTGAGGTTCCAAAAATGTGAACGTACCATTCTAACTCATTTTATGAGGTTATAATTATAATTGTTTTAAGAAAATTAGTACAATTTTAATAATACAAGCAGTGTGTTTAATACCTATAATTGTGATATCGGACGGCTAGAAAATGAGACGATTAAGTAAATTTGTGCGAGACTATGGCAGAGCCAGATAAGATTACTTCTCTCTCTCTCTCTCTCTTCTTATTCTAATTCACAACTGCAGCGGTAGTCGTTGGGAGGAGCTCATAATCGATCAATATCGCAAAACATTATAGTCCAACTATATATATATATTGTATTTAAATTAATTTACTTCATTTATATATATAATATTGTGATATATATCATAAGATCTAGAACCCTGTTATGTGTAAAATTAATTACCATAGTTGAAGAATGATCTCCCCCCTCACATTGCTTTCTTAGTGTACATCAATTTCAAAATGCATGAAAAGAAAATTTTCATTGGTGCACTATATTAGAGAAATATCTTATAACTAAGAAATTCAAAATTTATTATATAAAAAGAAAATATATTGTTTCAATATATAATAATAATAAAAATATCAAAGCACTAATAACACCTTAAATAGTTGAAACTAACACAAACACTAAACTGAACAGTCACCGACTTTACCAAGAAACACTGAATTCAATATTGCAGTGTAAGTATTTAATGGACACCAACCAGTAAATGAAATAAATAAAATAATTAAAAATAAAAACTTTTAACTTTTTACTAACTCAAATGAATTTCTTTACAGCACTAAAGCAAAGTGAAAATTATTAACTGATATTTAAAAAAATAATTAGTTAAATTCTTTTAAATATATTATTAATTAATTTCTTTTAATTTATTACAATTTTCTATAGAAAAAGCAATGGCAAAGGTTAGTTCCAAGAAAAGTTCACCAACTAATGAGGATGAAGACCGAAAGTCTGAATCACCAAGCGATCCACTGCCGATTTATCAAAAACGCGATAATTATTTTAGTTAAATAATAAAAAAAACATAACTAAACTATATCTTAAATAATTAACTAAAGAAACTAACTACTTACATATATATATATATATACTTATATATACTAATAAATCAATGAGAGAAAATTTAAATGCATTTATCTTTGAAAGAAAACCAATCAAATCAAACATAAAGAAAACTATTAATATTTACAAAAAAAATAAACTATTTAGAATTATGCAAAATAAAAAAGAGAAATTAATTAAATCCAGCAAAATTACAAAAAATTTATGTTTTCAAAAATAAAATAGAAAAATTAAAAATAATTAAAAATAATTAAAAGCTTAATTGACTGAAGTAAAGAGCTCAAAAAGACTACTTACAAAACAAAAGCAAACTACAAGATATTAAAAATATAATTAAAATAAATTAATTAAAAGAAATTAAAAAATAATTAAAAGAAATTAAAATTATTGAAGAAATGAATGAGCAGAATTTAATATTTTGAAAATAAATGGTTTTGTTCGAATTGTTAAACTTAAAAATTAGTAGTAGTTAATATCTGAAAGATATAAAAATATATGTTAAAACATAAAAGTTTGTGGTTGATAGTTGCAAAGAATGTATTAGATTCAATTAAATTTATAACACATATCAATGTCCTTAAATTTAACGTTAAGTGTCATATTGGATGAAAAACTAAGTAAATGCAATTAATTTAAATGATTGCGAAGCATTTAATTAATATTAATAAAAATTTTAAAAATTTAAATAATTGCTGAATTTTAAGCAAATTATTTTTACAACTGTTAAATTAAATTTTTTTTTTTGAGACTTCATTATGGCATTTGTTAATATTTATATATTTATTTTGCTACTCCATACGTTGTATAGTTTCATAAACTATATTTATAAAATATATATATTAAAATCATTTTGACTTAGGTCAGGCATTTGAAAGAACATACTATTTCACATACTACAATTTAAAACAGCACTAAATATCTCAGTCTTAAAAATAATAGTTGCACTTAAATAATTATATATTAATTAAAATTATAATTAAAAGTACTTTTGATATTAAAAACTTCTATAAACTATCTATCTAAATTCATAGTTTCTCGCAAGTTAACTGGATAATTATAATTCAATGTAGTAGTCATATAATAATATTTAAAGAAAAAATTAATTTATTTTTGTTTACAAAAAAAACTACAGGATTTTTTTTTTTAATATCTAATATTTTCTTAATATCAGTGAATATCATATCATTTAATTGTAGCTTAAAAAACTAAAAATAAAATCAAACAAGAATTTAAAAGACTCTTTAGCTGGACGGTACTCATAAAAATATACTTCAGTAGCATTTGGTATTATAACGCAAGATAAAAATATATACAGAACCTTAAGCTCCCATTTAAAATATAATACTATTATCAAACAAATCTCATATACTTTTAAAAATCAAAAATTTCTTATTGACGACTTCTTTATAGATATGTAGTATGTCATAATACAGTAAAGTCAAAAATAACATCATAAATAGACCTGTTACGAAAAAAGATCTGGAAAAGCATATAATGAGCTACAAAATGTTGAATAAATTTGATATTTTAGTCAACAACTAATCTTTGAGATTTGAGATGACTATCGATCAAATAAGATCACAATATCCATTAAAAACTGTCATCAGTTGTTCGGATTAAAAATTTTGTTGACTAGTATAATTAGTCATCGAACTATAGAGACATTTTTGCCCATTTTAAAGCCAGTAAAGTAAATCTTTCTCTAAATGTCTACGTAGCAAAAATTTTTATCATAAGTCAAGTTAAGTAAAGTTTACTTTAAGTCAGTAAGTTTAAGTAAGTTCACTTAATTTATTACTTAAAATTAATTTTTAAATTTATTATTAAAAATGTTCGCATTAGTATTATTATGGCAATTTCTAACAAGAAAAACTAAGGACTTATAAAAGTTTGAAGTACATTATGATATCTCTCTTCTTTGTATCCATTTCTGATAGAGAGACTAAATTATTCCTGAAATTAAACGAAGAACTATATTTATACATATGAATATCCATTATTAATCCATCATGACAAGATAATTTTTTTTAGTTACGGAAATTAACCGAAATCCTTCCTTGAAATAACTGTCCGTCTAGAAATCCTTCTTAGAACGGACTTGCATCTACTTTTAGTGCATCGACTCTCTTGTTTGAAAGAGTTTTAGTACACATTTATATATATGTATCATATGATTATTTCATATAATAAATATTTTTTTCAAATTACGGTAATGATCTGAAATCCCTCCTTGAAAGTCTAGCTATCGTCCTGTTTATAATTTTAGATTTGTTTTTTTTTCTATTTCTATTTTTTCTTATTGCAAAAGTGAGCTTTTAATTGCAAAAATAAAAAAATTATTATAGTAGTAATGGTGTTATAAATTGATTTTATCCACCATATACCCAGCTCTGTAAATTTTATAAAAAAAAAATCTCCCAATGAAACTAAGTATTTGTATTGAAAGAGCCGGACTAGGATATAAAACATATTCCTGCTTCCATCACGTAATCAAGTCGTGTATATAGCTTCGAATAATGATCTGTAATGATGCACATTAGCTACTTAATTCGACTTCTTGTTAAACTTAATGGAGTAAAGTTCTTTTGTGGCTTATATTTGATCAAACAAAATGTTCTTAGTTGTTAAATAACATAAAAATTAAATTTTCGCTGAAACTTTTCTATAAATGTAAACAGAAAAAGACTTTAAAGACCCTTCTTCTGAAAAGATACCTTCATTAATTCAATTGTTTTTACTTATTAATAATAATCGTAAATGTACAAAAAAAAAAAACTAAAAAATTACAACTGTTACGGAAATCAACTGAGCATCAAATTTTTATAATAATCATAAAAATTATGCTTATAATTTATTATAAGCTAGTATTATCACTAGTAGATCACAGCTATAATAGTCGTTATTCATATGGTTTTTCCTGATCAAACAAATGAAGTTGAAACAATTACTGAGCATATATTAGAGTACCGAGAAGCAAATATCTTATTAACATAAAGTAACAACGCAACAATAATTTAAAAGACTTGAGAAAATCAATGAAATAAATTTAAAAATTTTTTAAGAATTTTTTTTTTAATATTAGAAAATTCGTTAGCTATCTAAATAATAATCAAAACATTTTAAGGCCAGACTGAAACAAACAAAAAATTAAATTAATAACAACTATTCAAAAATATATTAAAATATATATAAATCTAAAAAAAAAACAAAGAACACACAAAACATGAAATAGCCTATTTCAATTAAAAAAAAAACTACTACGTCACCTTCACCAAACACTTACTACTAAATCTATTTTTCAAACAACAATTATTGGTTAAATTAAAAAAATATATGTACATTTATTAATTAGTATAATTTGTAATAATATATAGTAAATATTAATTACTATATTTAACTTAAAAATCAATGAAAAATCTCAAAAAATCAGCAATTTAAAATGTACCTATGTCTTAACAGAAGATTATTATTATCATAAACTATATGTATAATAAGAAAAACTAAATTACATATATATACATATATGTAATTAATCACAGTCACTTACAAAAATAAATTAAAGAATTTATAGTAATTTTATGAATCGAATATTTAATATTAAAAATTAAAGAGTATATTAATTATTTAAATTGAAGGGTCTTTCGAAATTAAATAAATCATTTGAATTATTTTAGGTCAATTATAAAGGCAATTGTAATCTCATTTAAGTAAAATAAAATTAATATTATGATTAAACATTAAATACATATATAAATATATAACAATGCAAATATAATTAAATATCAATTTAAAATCAAGCAAATAAAGTTCATAGAAAATGTATAGGAAAAATTATGTCAATATTATGAAAACTGCAATTAAAACTTTTAAAGTTAAAAAAGAAATTTATTGAAATAATTAAAAAAAAATAATTCAAATAAATAAAATATTCATATTATTACATATACATTAAAATGAACAACGATAAAATTTATGCAAAAAAGTAATTAAAAAAAAGTTAATTATAAAATTTTTATTTGTAAAAATTAAACAAAATGTACAAAATATTTTTAATATGTTTTTAAAAAAAATTAGTTTAATTTTAATTCATAATTAATTATATTATTTAAGTACAAAACAAAAACAGCAAATAAAACAAAAAACAAAATGATTCATATTTTAATAAACCGCATATTTCACGGTGCTATATATGTTTTTATATTATTTTAATTCAATAAATAATTTAAAAAATAATATATAATTAATATAAGTTCTTATGAAGTTATTCAATTGTGCGAAGTTTTAAATGCAATTATATATAATACATATTTATATATACACATATATAAAATTTATCCAAAATTTATAAAATCATGCGAGTCAAAATAAAGTCAACTATAAGGCAATTAATACGAATATCTTTTAGCATAAACCTTAGAACATTCGTTCCCACTGTCACACCTCACCAACACTTCTCAAGCACAAATCAATATCACAAAACATTGTAGTCATATCACCGTAAAATATATTACTAAACTATCTCACCGCAGAATAAATTCACGAAAATATTTCTCAATTCGCCTTATTACGTTTTGTTTCTGTGTTTAAATAATTATTTTATATTAAATTTAATTAAACTTTAAGCATACATATGATATATATGTAATTATTTTCATTAAGGACATTTGTTCATTTATATATAACATATATTAAAGTATATATAAAATTATAAAGAAATATCTATATATTTAAATAGTAATAATTTTATTATATAATATTGTGTATCATAAAATATATATAAATATTTGAATATATATATATATAATATATAAATAAACGATTAAAGTATACATTATATAATATATTCATTGTAAGTTATAAATTGAAATTACAGATGTTATCAATAAAGACGATAGTTGAAAATTATAAATAATAAATTTTCTTCTTGTTTTTTTTTTTATAAGTTTATAAAAAATAAACATACAATTGAACCTTTAATC